GGAGAGACTTAGTTTAGATATTAGCGTTGTTAATGGTCTTATGAGAATGTAAAGAAAATAAATGAGGAAAGGGTTTCTAGTGGCTGGAGAACCAAGTGCTGGGTTTTGGATGGGCTCAGTTGGCAGTGAGCTGGTGCCATCATGGTGTTTGTACTCCTGGTCACAGTTCAGCTCTATGAGATTGTGTGTGACCTGCAAGGACCATTCCTTCTGTCTAGACCCCATAGTTAAATCTATAGGGATGAACTGTTTATGGTGGTTTTCTGTGTCATCCCATTTTGGTTTATTCATTTCCAGTGGCTCTGTTTGACACTCACACAACATGCATGTTGTGCAGCAGTTGTTCAGAACCTGTGGGAAAGTTTGTTATTTGTTTCTTAAAATCAGAATGTGCGTCTTTGTTACTTTAATAAGAAAAACATGCATTTTTTATTACTGCCAATAGTAGCAACGGCTGTATGGTGTTAGCAATAACACGGGCATTTTAATTTCCTGTTTAATCCCCTGTTTCTGTGGTTGGATATAGAACTGTACTGTCTGATTTCATCAGGGCTGGAGCTTAACTTGCAAAACATTACAACAAGATTGTTTGTTGCTTATGCATTTAAAAGCATCTCTCAGAAGCATCCCTTTGGTGATTTCTCCTATTTCAGCACTGGAGCACGCAGCAGGTTCTGTGTTATCTTTTGTAACCGATCCTATGGCCAAGATGCCCTGTGTTGTTGTTCTAATTACTCAGAGCACCATCCTGGGCTGATACCACCTCGGCAGAGCAGGGTGAGTTTATCTGTTTATTCTCCTGATGTCAGCTGCGATGACTCAGGGAATGCTGCTCGGCAAAGGAATTTGTGATTTTCTGCAGCAGTGGAGATAAATTCCTTTTATCATATACAGAAGAGAACATCTGTGATTACAATCATGCTGTTGACTTACGAAGATAACACCAATTACATTCCATTAAATGAGGTTTTTGTTGTAGGACAAGGCACTCATTATGCTGCACCGGGGCGTCTAGACCCGGTAGGCGAGGCACGAGGCAAACACGCTGCTTCGGCGTGTGTGGAGCAGGTAGCAAGTTAGCACTCTGCAACTAAAATGTTTTAGGCATTTGGTATAATTAATCATCTGGCATTTAAATAGGGGAAATCAGTGCTGCTGCGGTGCAGCCTGGGAGGGTTTGGAGACCAATTCCTGGCTCTGCAGGGTTGGGGGGAAGCAGCAGCCGGGTCCAGCCCTGACCTCCCGTAATTGATGGACCCTGCGCTCTGTGCTGGGGCAGATGCGTTTAACCCTGCTGTGATTCACCGTGCCCCAGGTATTGGGGTCAGCCGTAAATGGAGTCGTTGGCTCTGAGCTGTCCCCATTTCAAATGCCGGAGCTCTCCCACGCCTGCCTTTATGAGAGCAGAGATTTATTTCTTCCTGTCGTCTGAGCTTTGAGGATCCTCTGGATTGTTACGGTTTCGTTACGTCTCAGAGGACTACCTGACACTGGTGCTGAACTCAGCCATCAAGCTCCTGCCTGTCACACGTCACCTGTCGAGCACAGCTTTCTGCATTGGCTGTACTTGGTGCAGCAGTGAGCTGGGATGTCGGCACCACTCGGCATCCATAGCAGGACCCAATTCCTCCACCACCAACAGGGAGAAGATTTATATCACTTATAGTGGATGTACTCCACGAATTCTCTCTTCAGTTATTATCTTTTCCCTACAGTGTGGAATATTCATTTAAACCTTCTCTGAAATTAGCTGTAACTGTCAATGAAAGCTAAAGCAATTCTGTGTAGTTAACAAGATCCATCACTGGGCCTAATGTTCAGAGAGTAAGAACGGAGTCACCTGCTGGTCTGACTTAACCTTGGTTGAAGTTCTTCATGTTTCAGGTCCTCAAAAGTGCAGAAGGAAAACAGGCATGGTGCGTTGGGTTGGATGTGCTGGCTCTCAGGTTTGGGCTACTGCAGGATTGCAGAAAGATCTGCTTCATTTGGAATGTATTTAAATGGATCTGGTGTTTTTCAATACATTTTGTGATTCACTATATATATCAGTAGAAGCTAGGACAGCAGAATGTTCTTCTAAATTATCTATCACATTCTGTCCAACAGCATATGGGCATACACCTCATACTGTGTTTAAAAATGGTACTTCTATCATGAAATCTAATGAAATTTCCTATACGCCTCATCTTACTGAAAGGCATACAGTTCTCTTGAGGGAGGCAGAACCAGAGTGGTAGTACATTTGTTTCATCTGACAGGGGCAAAAAGAGATTTTTGGTAACCAGTCTTGTTTGCAGCTTGAGGCAGCTCAGTGCTCCTTCTGGGTTAGCTCGTTTTGGGCTTGAGCAAAGGAAATGTCACTCATTAAAATAAATTCTGTCACTAAGAGAGTGGCTCAGGGGCTAGCTTGCCCAGGCAGGCTCCTTACTGCGCTTTCCCAGGACAGTAACAAACCTGTAAGGAGCAGCACAGGTTGTACAGTAGCTACTGAAATTCATAAGGCACAAAGTAAGCTGTAATAACTGAAGAGAGCAGGGGAGGCTTTCATGTGTGTATGTATGTGTGTATGGCATCATCAGTCAGATGCCTCAAGGAGAGCCTAATGAGAGAAGGGTAAGCAGAAAGCCAACTTAGGGAAGTACCTTCTTCTGTCATCAGTGGGCTCATGGAACAAGTGATGCTCCATCGCTGATAAACTGAGAATGGGATATTGGGGCTTCATGGCTGCATGTCTCTGAACGCCTCGTGGCCATTGGAATGAAGTTACCACTTCTCTAAAAAGTGTGTGAAATTGGCATTGAGGAGCTGTCCGAATAGCAAGACTTTGTTCATGCAGAACCGTATTAAAGCAATGCATTTGCCTATGCAGATGCTGGACATCTGCATAGGCAAGATGTGGGATGATCCCTTTCTATCCAGCAACGCTATAACTTAGACTGTTTATGGTACTTTTAGTTTTCTACTTTTAAAATTCTGTTTATTAATGAATATTTGGTGGTTTTGAGTCAAATCCTCATGTCCATAAGGTGCTGGGCCTGGCTGTTGTCACACACTCCGGCAAGGTGTGGGCTGGCAGTGATTTCAGTCGTGCATTAGGCTACAGTGAGGGGAGGCTGCAGATGAGATGAAATTTGGATGCATGGTGTATATTCCCCCGATCAGAGGATCAGAACCTGTAGCAAGATGTGATGCAATATATATTGACACATTCTAATTGAAGTAACACTAAATGACAGCATGGCGTGACTTGCGTGCTCTGCTGGGGACACAGGTGACACAGGCACTGCACATCCCTGAGCCCCCTGGGGTGGTTTGGCTCATGCCTGCCCCAGCGGGATGGAGCTCCTTCAAGCAAGAGCCAGGCCAGCTTCTCTATTTTACCATTAGAAAATTAAAATGTATTTTAATTCTTCTGTTTTCAGATCCATTAATATAGCCCTCGGAGCTATAATCTTTATGGGCCAGACTGTAATATTCTCTCTCGAAGCAAATGAATCAGTGCAGCTGGTTAAGGAGCAGAACAGCCCTTGGTCTCAGAAACCAGTCAGGATTTCATCATCTAGCCCTCTATGCTTTATGGCTATTATTATCTTTTTCTGCCAGCAACAGTAAGTTGCGCACAGGTGTAATTTAAAGTGAGAGATGATGTGGAATGTGTTTTGAATAATAGATAAGGCGCAGTCAGAGATCGTTAACATATAATTAAAAATAAGGATAAATACAAGTGATATGGCTCTGTGCTTCGTGTAGACTCTTTTGTGGCACTACCTGAGGAGGGAGATGTGGGAGAGGTTGCTCCAGCATAATCTTCCTGGCAGGGCCTCTCTGAAACCATCCGATGGAAAAGATGAAATAAAGGACCATTGTTCCACCCGCTATCCAACCCAGCTGGCTTCCCTGCCCCATGCGTGTGCAGCTTGTCCTTTGTCATCATCATCCCTCAAGGAAGAAGACACATCTTCTGTTCATCCCCCTTCTTGTTTTTTGTACATCCTACCATCATTCTGTGTATTCTTCCTCCTCTGACCTCCTGCACCCACCAATTCCTTGCTTGTTCATCCCAGTGCGCTCGCGGCACCAGAGCAGCCTGTAGCCATGTGTTCAGGCTGCCTTGGGTTGGACACAGCAGGGTATGGGAGCCTTTGAGCTCCTTTCACTGTGGATCCATGTTGATCATCAGTTGCGAAGTATGTTCTAGTGCCTTCAGATGGTCTTTAGGACATACTTGGGAGAAACAAAACAGCATTTTGAGTGTGAACCACTGGACTTTTGTTCACCGCCATCCTAGGAAATGAGTTCAAATGTACATATGTGGCCCTTTATCAATACCCTTTTAGGTCCGGAAAAGGTTTTGACATGGAAATCTTACACAAAAATGGGTTTTGGTGTGTCCTAGTGTCAGAAATACCAGCTACCTGGGCTTCTTTTCACAGATTGGATTGTAACATTTCTGTTTTAATTTTGCTCTCAGGAGAGATGCCCAGTACAGCAGGAGAGTAAAAATGTATTTAGGTATTTTGAAGCCTTTCCATACTTTCAGTGTTTGGCTGCTGTACTGCAAACCCAGCGTGTTTGCTGTTGCTGGGTACACACCTGGCAGATGCTGCTGTGTGTTTTCTGGTTGTTTTAAGATTGCAAGAGGTGACCAAAGTAGTAGTGTTGTGTAATGTGCTCTATGGCTGTATTTTATCATATGGGTTTTTTAATTTACAGAAAAATATTTTCAATTTTTCAAAGTGAAATTAGACATCCTGAGCTGTGTTGTCTGTAGGCTCAGTCCTGTTCCCGTTCATTGAACTTCAAGTTCAGTTTCAATCTGCCCTCTTTTTAGTGCTCAGATGTTTTCCTGAGCATGGAGTCCGTGCAAGGTTTTTCTAAAAGCAAATGTAGTTACTATTTCTTTTTAGGGTACGTTGTACCCAGACCTGCCAAGGTAGTATTTCAGCATCTGATGTACAGAGATTGCTGCAAGTCTCACATTTGCCTTCTCTTTCACGCAGACGACAACATGCTGCACGGGCCGGTTTTCCTGCAGGAGCCCAGCAGTGTGATCTTCCCCTTGGATTCAGAGGAAAAGAAAGTGAAGTTAAACTGCGAAGTGAAAGGAAATCCCCGGCCAACCATTGGGTTTGTGGCATCCTTCCCTGTTCCCTGCACATTCCCTACAGCAGCCCTCCTCACCTCCCACCCCCATCTGAGCACAGCAGCACCCGGGGGGGCTCTCTCAGTGCTGACACAAAGGAAAAACCCACCCCAGGGTTTGCATTGCAACACAATTGTACAATTTGAATCCGACTTCAAAAGGGTTACAGTGGGATCGTTAATCATCTTGGCTCCCTGATTAACCATCCTTGCCCACAAACACGGACAAAGCTCTTAATGGTTCTTCTGTTTTATTAACTGCTTTGAGTTAATATCTGAAAAAGAAGCTCTACTGCTGTGGTGATGCTGCTGCTCTTGTTCCACACGCTGGTCTGGCTGATGTAAATCATTTAGGATGACTTTTCCATTTTTTCCCTTGGGTACCTTCCTTATCGTGTTTAATCAAAGCAAAAAGGGTGCTTTGAAACCTGGTGGGGTGATGAGACCTCAGCCCTCACTTGTGTCTTCTGCCACAAGAGACCACTTAATGCAGCAGGCAGTGCCGATTTGTTCATGCAAACATACTCTGTGTTACTGTGCGTGCATTCAGATGGGGAGCTGCTGGGGGGCTGTGCACAGAGGGGCAACAGTTGCTGTAATTGGGGCAGCGTGCTGCTGGAAATCCTCAGTGCCCCAGTTAGTGGGAACATCCGCGAGTGAATTTTTCTTCAATTGAAAAACAAACAGCCAGCTGAGGCAGGAGAGGATTGGAACAGTTTAAAGATCCTGTTTCTGGGACTTCCTCTTGCAAAATGATTAATTCCAAAGAGCAGCAGCACCAGCAACAACTGCAGAAACATTAATCATATCAGGGACTGAAATATATGTCAAGGATATTGCTCCTTCAGTTAAATACAAGAATATTTCAATACTGTGAACAAAACCTGTATTTTCATGCTTTTTTTTTAAATAGTCAGTCAAAGATGTTTTAAATCGCGATTTCCTGCATGTTGTATTTTCAAATATCTATTAATGTGAGCAGGATTTAACTTTTGTCATTTTGTGCTGTAGGTGGAAGTTAAATGGAACCAACATTGACCTCGGTATGGATTACCGCTACAGCACGGTGGAAGGCAACCTGTTGATCAATAATCCCAATAAAACTCAAGATACTGGAACATACCAGTGTGTAGCAACAAACCCATTCGGAAGGATCATTAGCAGAGAAGCAAAGCTTCAGTTTGCTTGTAAGTAAATGGCACCGCAGCCTCACTTCCCACAGCATCCTAGAATGAAAGCAACACTTCCCTGTTTCTTATTGTCTGAGCTCTGCATGGAGCAGAAAAAGGTGGATGTAAAGAGTAAATGTGAGTGAGGAATAGTTGTCTCATTTTATATTTACTTAGCTGTAGTATGCAGAATGCATTGTCTTTATTTCTTGAGAAAGAGACCACTTGGCAAAGTAGCTGGCAAATGGGATCTCACCATTGATTTTTCACTCTGTGGAGAACTGATGCTTCAATTGTTCTGAAGGATTCTGTTCTTTAGAAGCAACAAGCTTATTGTGATGTTCTTTGTAACCTAAGTTTCGGTGTTTGGGTACAAATTCTTGCAGGTATGGACGATATTTGTACCTGTGTAAAATCAGAGGTTGCGTCATACTTTGAGTTAAATGCAGCATTACAACTAAGCATAGCAAAAGACACAGTTCTTAATGTGAATCAGCATTATATGAAATTAGGACAAGCTCTTCTGGAGTACCGAATAGAGTCTGTAAGAATGGGCAAATGATAGTGCATGACCACAGGCCATCTGTTTTCCCATCTAGTCACAAGGGAAAGGCAGAGAATAGATGCACAGTTTAAAGATGCCCATGAATGGCAAGTTCACACAAATATAAAGAGGTGATTTGTAATGAGAAGCATTACCACGAGTGAAGCCAAACCCTTTGTCTCCCCACATAGTTTACAACACATTATCAGCTTGCTTTTGACCTGCTTGTGTTTGTGCATGAACGAAGTTGCATTTTTCACTGTGGATGGGTAATGAGCTGCATCCTCAGGACCACTCTGGTAACTCCAGCATTCAGTATGTTGGGTGACAGCTTCATAAATACAACATTGGTCTTCTTCTCTGGAGCCCACATGCTCACTGCTGACCCTCAGGTAATCCTTTTGAAGCTTCACCATTCAGAGCTCAGTATCTTTGCTGGAGTCAGATGCTAAAAAAGGCAATCCTGTAAGGATGAGCCCAGTATGGGATTCCAGCTCTGTGGACACAGGGCAACTTCAAAGTCCAGGCTTGTAGGGTCAGAGGAAAACAGCCTGATGCTGGCAGTGCAGTGCATTGCTTTCCTTGCACGTTTAAATACACTAATTAACCAGGAGCTTGCAAACACAGAGGATTCTGTTTGAAAAATAAGAATTCATCAACCTTTAACATTTTATTTTGCTTCACATACGGAACATTTGTTAAGTTCTGATTGATTTATCTCTCTTGATGAATGTTACATCTGGCAACAGTCTTTCAAGTTCTGAAGTTGACCAAATGCAGGTTAGGTTTGACTGATTTTTAATTAAGATTAAATTAAAAAACAAAGCTGTTCTTTTCCTGTTAAAATAATGATGGGGATCCTGAATAATATATATATATTTTTTTGATTCTTAAATTTTCTTTTAGATTAATAAAACTGTGTAATCAGATTAGAAACATTTGGATTAAATAAAAAAAGCATTAGCACTTATCAGGCTAGGCTCTGCGCTTTCCCAAACGCTAAATCATTTTGAGGTGTATAATTAAAGGGACTGCAGCCAGAATCAACCAAATTATGAAATACACAGAGCTTATTCCAAAAGCTCTGCCTCTAAGAAGGAATAAAACTGGGCATGTTTATTAGCAAAGCTTGATGTAGAAGGTACCCAGATGCAGTAGAGCTACTTAACAGAGCTGCTTGGCTCCTCTGAGTTTTTATTTCAGCCCTCCTGCCTGACTTGCATGCTGTGTGATTTTGGTGACATCTCCGTTTTGTTCCCAAGGAAAATCACTGCAGGTTCTTCTGAGGCCGTGGTCTGGGATTTTGAGCTATTTTTGCTCTTGTGGGTTAAACTTTCAGTCCTGGGGCATGGTTAATATATGTATGTTCATTCTGTGAGGGTTGTATCATACTTTTGAGGTATCTTCACTGAGGATTAAGCTGCAATCCAGCCATTCAGCCTCCTGTGCGGGTCAGGGGGGCCAGCAATCTAATCTCTGAAATATGTATTTAGGTTTCAAATTCATTACAATGGAAGTGCTAATATTTTCCTCCTGTACTTGCCTTGTGGTGTATCATTTACATTCTTTCCTCCCCAGTGCTGGTTGTCTGTGAAATACAAAGTTTTTTCAGAGCAGGAGGAATCTGCTCTGCTGCAGTAACAGAATATGGATAATGATGCACTAAACCCTGTGCTTATACCAGTGCAGGCACTCAGAAAATAAAAAACGCTTTAAGCTCTTAGTATGGATCCTAATCATGGCTTTTCCAAACTGATATGCAAAAACACAGCTGAAATAGATTAAATTATACAAAAATGCTTTCCACTGTTCTCCCCAGCCAGGAACTGCTTCTCAGCCTGGCTGAAAATGTGGCTAAAAATGCATTTTCTGAGAGTCTTCTATTGCTCAGTCAGGACAGGCAGTTTGCTGAAGCTTGTGTTTAATAAGATTTGGTGTTTTAAATGTGCTTCATGCTGCATATATGGCATGGGATGGTTGTCCCTGGTGCTGGGAGGGGGCAGCAGCCCAAGCACGGCCTTTATTCACTTGCTATTGAATTGTTCAAGCCATGTATAGAAGCTTGAACTTTCTTCTTTGTTACTGGCAGTGTATCCTTAACTGCAGGGAATCAAACTATTGTTTCTGCAAACTGCTCCTCCCCACACTTTATTAAAGGGATTTGTTTTATAGAAGTGTTTCTGTGGAAATAATTGTTATGCATGAATTAGCAGATAGGACTCAGCACTGCGCAGTGCAAATGGTTGCAGAAAATACAATAATAATGTGGTTGTAATGAGAATACTTTGGGGCTTTGACCTGCCGTCCCAAAATAATTTTGCTACGATGGTAGAAAAAGAAAATTACTCCCAGCATTATACTGAAAAGGACTTTTTTCCATATTCCCATTGCTGGAATGATTCCTGTTCTATCTTGCACCCGAGCAAATCCCATAATTTTTGCTATTAGTTGCTAAGAAACAAATTATAATTGCTGCTCAAATTCTTTACTGTTGTACCCTCTTATTGCCCTGAAGTGCATTCATTTTCTTTTTGAAGATTAAATGATCAATGAAGTAATTCTTTCAAGAACAATTAATAAGGAAAACATTTTCAGAACAGCACCCGAGTATCCGCGTTTTCCTGGCTAAACAAACACGCACGACAACAATCGCAGTGATTGATCAATGAATTAATGCACTTCTGTTCTGCTGAACGAGGCATTTGGCACCCAAATTAAATCATTTCCGCAGTCATTACTAATGTCTGGATGTTGAGAAAAGATGATGTGTTTTAGAGCTCCTGGAAGTGGAGGAGGTTGGGGCTTGGTGGTGTTTTCTCCAGCATCAGGCTGCAGCTGGGCTGCCAGCGTGTGCTCCTGGCTCATGTATTGCCCTGCTGGTTTGCAGCCTTGCCTTCAAATCCCCCCCATCATCTTATGTGCACCCTTACAGGTGGAGCTGTAATGCCACAGCTCCCAGGAGCGTGGGCACAAGCACCCCGTTTCTGTGGAGATGTAATGTTTAAATGACCTAGACGATCAGAAAGTGTTTGGGACTAGTTATGACAAATCTGATTCAAGAATGTCTCTTCCTGCATGCATGTAAATAGTCCTTGTTTCCTCCTGCAATATCCTTCCAAGAAAAAGTACTACTTATATTAACAAAGGTCTTATCCAAAGGTGGAGACTGGTACTACGAGGGGCTCCCAGGGCTGGGCTTGGTGTGACCCAGGGTGCTCTTTAACAAAGGAACAAGAAAATCAATTTGAATTTCTACCCATGCACGAATGTTTATGTCCTGTGCTAAAGCCTGAACTCAGCTGAGCAAAGCATGGCTGCCACCGTCAGCTCATCACCTCTGCACCTTTGCCTCACAGTCTCTGGTGGGACAGAAAACTGGGTTAAGCCACACGTAAGCTTTTCTTTTTTGGGTTTATTCTCTTTTTGATGAATAGGACCAACAGGGAGTACGTAACAGAGGATAGCTATATAACCTACTTTACTTTCATCTGCTATAGCAGGCTCCTTAACGCAGAATGGAGGATTTCTCTCTGCTGTGTTTCCACCCAAGGATTATAAATAGGACAAATACATGACTACTTAAAGCAGTGGCAGTATGTTCACTGGGACACGTGTCCCAGGAGCTCTAGGTCTCAGGTGGGCCATGGCTGTGGGCTCAACTCTGCTTTGGAAATGTGTGGTGCAGCAAGGCACAGGCAGTAGGTCTGTTCTGTTCCTCTCAATGTTTATTCATTTGACCTTTGACATGCAAAATAAACAATGTCATATATTCAAAGCATGTATTTTTTTCAGGTAACTGAGGGCTGGATATTTAAGGCCCAAATGCAGGTATCGTTTTTGGTCAGACTGGATGCTGACCTGGACCACGCCAATCTTTGTTTGATGTGGTTTAGTGATGGAAAGGTTTACGGGCAGGAAGCTGTTTTGGGAGCTCTTTCTGGTTCTGAGGAGATTGTCTTTGCTAAATCATGCCAAGGTGCCGTGAAAAATTCCAACTGGGTCTGGATGGAAGGAAGAAGAGATTTCTCATTTTCTCTGTTGTTTTGAACAAAAGAGTGAGTATTCTGATACTTTAAAATCCAATAGATATCTCTTACAGTTGGAGATCAGTTGACCTTAGGCTTAACTGGTCACATCGACTTCTCACATTTTAAGTTAGTGCATCATTGCTTTTATAGGCTCGATGGATCACAAATAAAAGCACAGAGATTCTGCAGTAAGCCTGAAGGGAGATGAGGATGTAGTCTTCCTTTTTCCCCTTGGCTTTGTGCAGGATCTGATGCTGCTCCGTTTATCAACCAAATCCCCCAGGTTCTTCCTCCTGAGGCCATTTTGTGGTCACTGTGATACCAGCAGAGTGGCTCCAGGATGGCCCCTTTGGTTTATTGTAGAACCAGTGAATGCTATCAGCCTCCTGGCCCATTCTTGGAAGGCTGAAATGGGAATGCAAATAATCCATGAGAGTAGGGAGCTG